AATCCCCAGGAAAACACAAGAAACCACCAACCCTTCCCCTGCTCCCCAGCCTTGTCCCATCCCGGGGTGTGATAAAGAAAATCCTCATTCTAGCTTTTTTGGAAAGAAGTGCACCAAAATCTCCAAAAAAGCAGTGAAGAAGCAATGAAGATGAAAGATTTTAAATGTTTTTTGCATGGGCAAATCCGTGTGTCCAGGGGCCCTCACCTCTCCCTGCCCAGGGAAACTGAGGTGCGGGGGGACGTGCCGGGAGCAGCGGGGCTGCTGCGCATCAGGCAGCACCCCTGAATCGCATCCCTCCGGTGCCCAAGTTCCCGCCACCAGAAGCAGAACTGAGCATCAGGCTATTGCCTTTGCTCATCTCCCCACTGCACCCCAAACCCTTCCTGCCCCCTGCATCCCCATGGAGGAAACCCCCAGGGCATCTCACTTGCCTCTTTTTCCTCCCCAAAAATACACCAGGTTTGGTTTCAGGGTTTTGGTTGGGTTTTTTTTTTTTGCAACAAAAGAAACTATTTATTTGGAATATGCATTACCAGTACAAATCAGGAAACTGTAAAACCTACACCTTGTTAGTATCGTCATAGAACATAAAAGTCTCAATTGGGATCAGAAAGACAGAGGCCTTTTTTTTTTTTCTTTACAGAAGCAGAAAAGCTTAAAGTTTCAAAACCAGGTCGGAACAGAGAGTCCTCTTTTTTTAGGGTTTTTCTTTTTTCTTTTTTTTTTTTTTAATATTTGGAATCCGTTAGGAAGAGAAAAAAAAAGGATGGGGAAAAAAAATAGAAAAGAAAAAGCAACTCAGAACAAGTGGATCATCTTTACAAAGGATAGAAAGGGCTTTGCAAGAACAAAAAAAGCAAACCGACAAAACCAACCCCCCAGGCAATGTCTGATTTACATCATCTTAATAATAATAATAATAATAATAATAAAGGTGTATGAAAACAAAAGGAATCCAGGAAACCTTGACATTAAAAATAACACCCCAAACCCTAAACCGTTCAGTGATGTGAAAAGCTCAGATTTTTGGGAGGAGGGGGCGGAGTAGGGGAACTGTTCTAAGAGAAAACTAAAGCAACGCCAACCGGCATCATCCTCAGCCCTTCTCCTTGAACCCCACCCTGCACCCACCAAGATTCCAGGCTATATTTGGGGGCATTTTGGCCATGTCCCATCCGTTGTCCCTCATCCGTCCCAGCGCTCCCATGCAGTTGGGGCTTGGGGCCCGGCTGTGAGACCCTAACCTCAACAAGGTCCACGGTCTATGGCTGAAATGAGCCTGTACCTTCCTTGCTCCAAACCCCTCATTTTAGGTCCAAGAGCTGCGGTTGGACTGATGGGTGCCTCCAAGCCAGGGCTCTTGCAGCAAAACTTCGGGCCAAGGGTGCCGCTGGGATTTGCGGCAGAGCAAGGGCATTGAAGCCCACCAACTACACGTTTTGGGGAGGATTCATGCCCTTTCATCACTTCCAGGCAGCTCAGCATCACCCCCAGGCATGGAGACCCGCAGGGGCTCAGCACTGAACTCCCCATCACCCCTCTGCATCTCCTCTCCAAAACCTCTTGGGATTACATCCCTCTCTGGAGATGTAATCCCCTTGCTTAGCCCCAGAGCAGCCACCCAAGGATCTTCTGGGGTTTGGTGTCAAAAGGAGTGGGGACCACCCTGGCAAAAAGAACGCCCCTTCCCGCCAAAACCACCACCGTCGCTTTTCACATCACTTGGGTCACAGCTCAAAAGCACAGGGGAAGCGGCAAGGCCATCGTCTCGGACAGGTCAAAATAAACTCAGCATCATCATCAACGGCCCTCTTCCTTCCCAGATAATGCCAAAAAAAAAAAAAAAAAAGGTAATTTCTGGGTCTTGACATGTTTATGTTAAGAAACATAAAGTGTTAGACTGTACCTATTAATGCTCACTATTCCAACCATTTTTTTTTCTTTTTAAAGTTTTACAAAATGAATTACTGTCACTTTTTAAACATTGTGTAAGAAGAAATGAGTGTGCACAACTCTACACTTTTCTAGCATTCTTGAACTAATTCACAAATGCGAGAAAATGGAAAAAAAATGGGAAAAACAAACAAACAAACAAAAAGATGAATGTAGGTAGTTTGTTATAAACTATACAGGAATGAAGCGCTTGTTGCCACAGAAAGAACAGGGATGGGACCTTCCCCCTGTTCAATTTTGCGTGCTAAGAGGGTCATTTTTTATTCTTTTATTATAAACACTATTAAATTCCGACTGCGTTTTTGGTTTTTTTTTTCTCCTTTATCTGAATATACAAGAACATTCATTATCAAATGTTCGTTATCATCAATACTACAAAGAACGAGACACAAATCGCAAGAAACAATGGAAAATGTTAATAAAGCTGAAAGAATTGTCGAGTTTTTTTTGTGTATTTTTTTGTTTTTATTTTTTTTTTACTTTCTGCAGGTTTTTTGTGGTTTTTTTTTTTCGTTTTGTTTTGTTTTGTTTTTTTGGTATCGAAGTCAGGTTTTTCTGGGCAGAAAAAAAATTAAAAAAAGAAGAAGAAAAAAACCCACAACACTTGGGGTTGGGGGAGGGGGGGAAGGGGAGAAGAAACAAACCCCCAAAATAAAAAAGCAAAGAAAAAGGCAAGCGAGCAGCTATGCCAACGCAAACTGGAGGGACCAACCAGGGAACCCAGGAGGTGATTTGCAAAGTACCGTGGAGGAGCGAGTGCCTGGGGGTGCCGTGGGCAGTGGGTGCCATGGGCAGGGGGTGCAGGCAGGAGGGGCAGCGGCTGCAGGGCAGGGGAAGGCAGCCCTGGCACGGCGTGGTGGTGGTAAACAGATGGTTGTGGCTCATCCCCAGGTGGTTTCCACGGGGTACCGATTCCTGCAGGCACAGCACTCCTGCCGCTCCGGAGAACAGACCTGATCCAGTCCCGTGTCCCTGAAATGCTTTGCCGGAATGGTTTCATGTAAAATAAGCTGGAAATGGTTAAAAGGCTGCACTGGGGGAGGTCGGAGGGCGGTGAGGAGGAGGGTGGGAAGGTCCATGGCTCAGGAAGACGGGCAGCACCTCCTAACCATCCTCACCCTCGAGGGAAAACAACCTTCTCGTTGCTCTTAACATATTCCCAGCTGGGAGGCAACCCTTGACGTTGCACGTCACATCACGGTCTGCAAGACAGTCCCCATCCCTGGGCACGGATGTGAAAGGAGCAGAAAGCGTCTCACTGATAGAGACATAAAAACCAAGCAAGAAGCAGCTTGTGCCATTTTTCATCCACCTTTTGCATCCTACTCTGATCCCACCAGCTCAGAAACAGAAAATTGACTGAACTGGGATTTTCCTGCTTGGGGGAAGGTCACGAATTTCAGAGTGGGTGTTTTGGAGCCTTCTGGGCTTGTTCCCCAGGGAAAGGGAGGCTTCACTTTCACTTCAGGTAAGTCCCACTGCTAGCCCTGTGCTGCAAGGTGACAGCACGTCAGAGCCACGGGCACACCACTGCTGTGGCCTGCAGGCCAAACACCATTATTTTTTTCCAGTAGAAGGGTAGAAGCTTTTCTGGCAGAGCTTTAATTTTAAATGGTTCCTGCTAAACGCTGCTCTGCGCTGGCAGTTCCCATCTCAAGATGGTTGGCACCAGCACGGGCAGGGTGGGCATGGACGTGCAAGAGCATGAGATGTGGCCAAGAAGTTATTCAGATCCACCACGAGGTACCAGACATGCTGCACCCACACCAGTCCCCACAACATCCAGGCTCTTGCCATGGGCTGGCTCAGCCTTCTCATGCCTGCTGGAAGAACCGTTGGCCAAAAGTACCACCCCAGCACAAAGCTCAGCCCATTGCCTGGGGAAAACTGGTGCCTCCTCACCCTGCTCTTCACTGAAAGCCACTTCCTCCCAGCATCAGCTGCCTGAAGGGGTGTTACAGCAGGATGAAGCCTTGCTTACCACCCATCAACAGCTGTCCAAAGAGTGGGCCAGAAAAACTGGGCAGAAAATCCCACAAGTTCTCCCATGACTTGGGATGCCACTGCCCAAAGTAACTCCTGGGATAAAACCAGCAGCTTCAGCAGAAAGACATCCCCAAGCAGGGCACCCACCTGTCCTACAGAGGTGGGTTCAAGCAAACCCTCCAGCAAATCTGTTGCATTAACCGTCACCAAAAGCACCTGATGGGATCACCCCACCACATCCAGCCTCCAGGATCCTGCTGCCTGTCCCTCTGCCTGCCTGGCAGGGCTTTGGGAATGCACTGGGTGTCACCAACCTCTGTGGGTCCTGCCTGCACTGGGGAACCCCATCTCCTCCTCTTCCACAGCACGGCACGCTCCCAAAAACATGAGCCAACACCCCACAACACTTTCCTCACCAGGAAAAACACCGCTGGCCTCCCCAGATGCTGCAGGAAAACTGCTGGGGTCCCATCAGTCATCAACGCCTGATCCCGTACAACACTGTGGAGGTGCTCAGTGCCTTCGTTATCAGCGACGGCCATTTCTTGTCCACCGCCGCCTCGTTTCCTTCCCTCTCCTCCCCTCCCAACAGCGGGCAGGAAGGACAGCAGGGTTTCATGGATCATCCAGCTCACGGCAGCCAGTGGGATGTGCGGCGGAGCAGGGCAGGGACCGGGAAGTGCCATCAGTTTCCCTGGGGCTGGGAATGGGCCGGTACCTTTTGGAAGCGAAGGGGAGCATGCTGGCTCCTTCTCCTACGTGCACAGGGGGGGCTGCATCCACCTGCCCTGTCACCGGCAGTGCCTGAGGGACAGCTCACCGAGGCAGGGCTGGGCGTGGGGAGGCGATGCGCTGGCTGCGGCCAGGGCCGGAGGAGACAAGGCAGCAGCGGGGCTGTGGTGGCGTTTCCCTATGGAGAGGTAGCGTGAGAGACAGGGAGGTGTGAGGGGGGCTGCCTGCTAGTAAAGGAGCGAGACGTGACTGAGGTACATTTGTGGCTCCTCAGAAAGATGCCCAGCACGAGGCCATACACTGCCTTGGGGTTTTTTTGCGTGGCGGCGGTTGATTTTTGCTTTTCCTCCTTAAAATCCTTCTGCCTGTTGACATATCCTTCGGTGGGAAGGGGCGAGGGGAAGGGAATGGTGTTGTGGCGGTGGCAGGGAGGGGGACAGCGGCTTCTACCCAGAAAAGAAAGGGAAGAGAGTATAAAGAAGTGTCCAGATTGGCTGAAAAAAGCATCCCGACGAAGAGAAGAGAAGAGAAGGAGTCTTCTTGTGTGTGCTGATTGGGTTCACCTCCAGTCTGACTGCTGCGGTGTTAGGAGAGGCCCCCTCCCCTCCTGCCCCCGCCGGGGCCGGCTCAGCCAGGGATGCAATTTGCTGGGAGATCAGTTGGAGGTATCAGAGTGAACGCTGCCAGGGCCTTCTGTGGGGGAGGTCACCGATGACGGGGTAGTAGCGTCTTGCCAACCTCCATTAGCCTGCGGGAAGGGAGACACGGAGATGTCAGTCACCCAATGGCACACCCGGCCCTACCCAAGCCACCGGTCCACCTTGGACCCTCTTGCTTCTCCCTTGGCAGGAGCTGATGTAGGAGGCAAAGACGGCCCCTCTGGCTCCCCCATCCCACTGCAGACAGTAGAGCTCCATTGGTGTGGTAGGGCCAGAAACAATTCTGTTGAAAACAGAGTTTTTGATAAATTGCAAGTGCTCATGGAAATTCTGTCCCTTAAAAAACACATACTTCTGCAGAAACCCTGAACCCTGGTTGTTTGGGATTTTTTAACCCCAAATAGGACCCTTCCCCATATGGAAGGAGAAAATAGCAAACACCTCACTCCAGAAATCCCACCCTAGGATATTATCTGGACCCAGGTGCTATGAACATGTCGAACAAGTGATGTGTCCCAAGGGACCTCTGAGCCATGCCATGTCCTCCAGCACTGCTCCATGTCCCTTCTTGCTGCCTTTCTGGGCACCCCTCCTCCTGAGTGGTCCCTGTGTGAGGGGGAAGCCATCAGCACCAGGCCTTGTCACAGGGAAGACACGCTGACCACATGACTTCCCTTGCCACTGTGAACGCCACATTCAGCAAACTGGGCCACCTCTCTAGCCCCAACACAAGAGCCTCCCCCTCCTCACTTTGCAGTGAAACCACAAACAAATTTCTGCTGCCCTGGGGCTGGTCCTTCACACTCCCTATCACTCCTCCTCGAGGGACCCCAAGCCACAGTGCAACAGAGGTGCCACTACCATATCCCATCCAGGGTTTTGTACAGCAAAGCATAGCAGACAACTTGTTTCTTCTCCTAAAAAGAGACACAGAGCCAAATTCTCCAGCCTCCTGAGAGCAGAGTTACCAGAGGGCCCAGGCTGCCACAGGCAGGAGCCAGCAGTGCACAGAAGCTGCTCCTCTGCAGCTGCCATTCCCTTTGGAGAGGAGCAGATGTCACACCCAACCTCCTCTGCTCACTCTGACATTGATTCAGTACTCAGCTAATTAATCCTTCGCCTGAGCTCGAGTTAGTAGCAGTCACGGTCCCACTTCAGACATGCCCGGGATGCTTCCCTCTCTCTGGCTGCCTGCGCCACTGCCTCCAGCACAGGGCATCCAACACTGGCCCCAACAGCCCCCACTTGCTGGGACCCTGCAGAACCCCGAAGTGGGGTAAGGGTAGGAAAATCCTCATGGTGCCAAGCAGCCGTCTGGGACTTATCAGCGGGTTGTGCACGCTGCTGACCAGCTCCTGCCTGCCCGAGAGGAACTTGAGATGGGAGCAAACCACCTCGCAGTGAGACCTGCACAAAGCAAAAAAGACAGAGGCGTGCACACACACAACGGGCTTGTGTGCTCTTCCATGCGTACATGGGAGCAAGGTGTTTGCACCCCTCGAAAGAGATTCAGGCAACAGCAAGGAAGAGAGGAATCGCAACCTGAGCTTACTAGCAGGTTAGAAAACTCTGCTCCACCTCACCTTGGGTGCAAACATGAAACCAGACTATGCACGGACATTACCAGTCCCGCATGTCCCCCGTCTGCAGAGCCCTCACCATCCCCACCGCCCCCACCCGCTTCCATCCACAGCTGAGCCCCGACCCACCGTCCCTGCGCTCCCCGAGATGCAATAGCCACCCTTACATGTCTTGGACCGCTGCAAGAGGCAGCAATTACTGTAGATTATCAGCCCGACAATGACAGGCCACGTAAAGAGAGACACAGAGCCAACTCCACCGCCCCAAGACTGGCATATTCAAGTACACTTAGGACATTAATAGCAATTTACGTGCCATCAGTGAGAGAGAACCACAATAGCTGTGCTGGCAGCCTCTTATTACCAAGCCTGTTATTTGTTGGAGTTACAAGCTATAATCACAACAGAAACTTTCAAAACCCTTATCTTCCGTGACGCACCAAATCTATTTCAGAGCCGTAATTGCTATGTCACCGGAGAGTTTGCTGCTTAATGCACTCAGATGCCATTTAGTGTTTGCAGGGTCATTACGGCGAGCAGGAGGGGGAGAGAGGAGGGGGGCGCATGGAGCAGGGCTCCGGCCCTATTGTGCTCAACTATTTTTAGTGAGGCTTTTGCGTGCCAGTTGTGGTTGGAAGGAGCAAGACGGAGAGCATCTTGCAGACAATGACTGTGATGCCTCGATGTTTAGCACTATGCCCCCCCAAATGCTAGGGAGCCCCCTGGCACTCCAGGGTGGGAAACAGCCTTCACGTGTTGCAGGAATTTGTGCTGCTGCTGACCACCTTGGTCATGTCCAGTGGGATGGACAAGAGGATATTGGGGAGAAGCTGATCCGGATCGAGGCACCCTCCACAGACCCCACGCCCTCCTGCTTCTGCAGCCTGGGAAGCCCAAGCTACAGGTCAAGTGATGGAAAGGAGGCCCCAAGGTTGGCCATGACTTTAGCATCTCGATGCCATCCTTCAGTATGGACAAACCCTCCATGAGGAGGTTGGATCCTTCCCCGGGCAGAGGGCACGTAAGCACCATCCACACTCAGACCTTCTTTCCTGGAGATCACCCTGTTGCTGCATGGACCAAGCCACGTAGAGCATGCATCCAGCTGGCCCTGCCTCTTTCCAAAGCAAGGAGATCTCTTGGGAACTGATTGTAGTAAATCCCTTGGGAGCTCCCTCAAGGACAAGGGAATCTTCTGAGGAGGCTGCTGCTCCTCGCAGACCTCCCAGGGAGCCCCTACACAAAGCTGTGACTTCTTCAGGAGAGGCAGACGCCAAAAACAGAGCAATGGTCTCCAGGACATCTCTTGATATGTCACTTTCTGGTGACTGTCCAAGTGGTGGAGCCCTGGTGATGGATTGCCAAAGCAACTGGTTTTGGTGCCCATTTCCACAGGTCTCCCAGCATTTTTGTCACTCCAGCAAGCCTGGCTGGCTCTCTGCCTGGGCCTCCTATGTGGGCTCCTATGACTTTCTGCCAATTTTTAAAGGCACCTTCTGCTTCACAGGGAGGCTGTCTTTACATCCCATCTTCTGTGACCAATTCCTTGTCCCACCATCAACAGGGCAGGGTGTCTGGTCAGCCTCCAAACACACAGATACCGGCAAGTCTGACAGGTGGGAAGCAGCCTCAAAGAGGCTTCAGACCACCGAGCTTCTAAGAGCTTGTATCAGGGTCTCCTTATGATACACACTGAAGCTCTTATTACGCACCAGGGAATCCAGCCTTCGCTGGCCATCACCTTCCAAGGGTCACAGTGGCAGTCTTCAGGACTTCCTGACGGATGGAGCTCGGGTGCTGAAGATGTGCCAGACCAACTTCCATATCCCAGCTTGTGATCATGATCATGAACTGTAGCTTGACCGTGATGGTGAAACAGCTTGCTGAGGAACAGAGCAACAACTTTCTTCTCAAAGCTCCAATTCTTAGAGAAAAGCATCTCAGCAGAAGTGAGGAGGTCTCACCTTCTTCAGGTACCAGTACCTGGTGATCCTCACCGACAAGAGCAGATGCAAAACTCAATGGCACACCCTGCTGCTGACCACCACCATCATAGTTACACACACTGCTCTGTAAATAGGCACAGCTCTGCACAACAGCAGTTCTAAATCAAAACCCATGCACTCTGAAGAGCTTTAAAAATAGTCCCTTATTAGCAGATGGGGGACCTAAAACACTTCGTGAATTTAGGGCCACAGGGGAGTAGCAGGAAGGGCGATGTTTTGGGTTGGGACCCTCCAGAGGATTATGGCCATAAATAAAGATCCAGCTTCTACTGGAACCCACCAGAACCTGGAGATCTAAATGCTTTCAAACCCCTAGCTTCGGGGACCTCTGGCTGGGTATACACACGGACCCCCACAAACAAGCACTGTCCAGAGGGACCAGACACTTAACACCTCTCACTTAATAGTGCAAAACCCCTCAACCTCAAAGCTTGCAGAAAGGGCTGGATCAGGCCTCAAACACCCCCTCCTTTCAGGTGGGGGGTGTCCTTCTTTCCTCTCAGTGCTACCCAAGGCTGAGTATCCTGAAGACAGCTCCTGCCTCTGCCACCCCTCCACCACCAAGAGCACCCCTGTCCCTTGCTGGGACTGGCGCTGCCCAATGCCGTCTCCACCTGCGGAGAAGGCGGCTGTTTTCACTCCGCCTCAGCCGTCACTGCAGGTCATGGAGATCGCAACGGATGGGACATCGCCCATTATCCTGCTAACGATGCAGAACTGACTCCAGCCCTTTTCGCCCCGCGGAGTGGTCTGTCAGCCGTCGAGCAGCAGAGCCACGGAGGGAATGAGGCTCTGGGTAGATCCCTGTCCTCAGCTGTCATGACTTACACACATTTAAAAATTCATCCTCCATCAAGGAAGGCAAACCCCGAGTGTTGTCTACCCTGCCAAGGTTTGCAGCGGTGGAGCTGGGCAACCTGCCGCTGACTTCCCAGCCCTGATGGGCTCCAGGGATGACTTAACCTCAGCCCCGTGCAGACATCGTTGTGACAGGGCTCTTGACTAGGTTTCGGCTCATCTCCTTCCAGCAGCTCACAGGGATGCTCGGGTGACGTGGGGACAGCAGCTTTCTTTGTCACTAGCAGCTTTCCTCCGCATCCTGCTGCCCTTCCTTGGCATTAAAAGGTTCAGGGGAGAGGCAGGGAAGCCCTGCCTGCTATGAGACAGCCACCCTGCCTGCACTAAGCAGCTCCCCAGGACCCTGCCCAGGACCTTTCCCAGGACCAACGCTTCTCAGAGGGCAGCCACACTTCAGGGGTGGACAAACTGGGGTCCATCAAGGGACCTAAACAGATGGGAAGACATTGAATGACAATAAAAACTACAGGCAGGACCACGCTGCCCAGGATATGGGGGAGGCAAAACATTTGGGGACAGAGACAACCCAGAAGACGCTTCCTAAACTATCTGCTCAGCTCTGGACTCCCTGCCTTGCTCCCCATGCCTACCACAGCTTTATGGGGAAACGAGGAGTCACACCCAAACCCAGGTAGTCCCTTTGCCCATCAGCCACCCTGCCCCTCTCTGAACAACATCCAGTTCAGGCCAATTTGGTCTCTTGCCCTCTCTGAAAACCGGCCTGAGGAGGCATGAGATGCCACCATGTCGGATCCCTTGGGAAGCACAGGGCAGACTGTGGAGCCCCTGCCACTCAGCTCACCAATTCCCAGTGCTGCTCATGGTAACACTGGTTCTCCCATTACCACAGCCAGAAACACCAGTCCAGCTCTTATTGTCCTATTTGGCTTTTGAGTTTCCACTACCTCTTTCTTCTCCTCTCCCCCATTGCCCCCTCCCTGCCTTGTAATCCCTGGCAGCAATCCTCCCCCCAAATTTTGGCTTAACTGAGCCCACTGTTATTTTCCAAGCCAAGTGCAACGGTAATCAGCTCAGCCTCTTTCCTTGGGGGTATTTTAATTTATACAAAAGTATCATCTCTTATCATGATCAGCCTGCGATTCATTTACTCTCCAAGTATTAAAAAGCCAGAAAGGGAATAAATTCAGCGCACGGAGAAATTAATGCGGAACGATAGGCTCTTTCATGTGGCATTTCCAAGCGCCGTTTTTGCAACGGGCTTATGTAATGAGACATAATTATCTGCACATGTTCAATTACATTACTTCACAAATCCTCCCTGCCTCTGCCTCCTGACGTCAAGCCGCCCGCTAAGCCCTGGCGCCCGCAGGAGAGGGGAGAGCAGCCCCCCATCCCGCTGCACCCCTCTTCCTACACCCTTTCCCTCTACCAGTGGTGGCCGCTTGCACACCGATGGCTGACAGTCACATGCAAGGTGACAAACGGCACAAGCCTTGGCTAGGAGGATGATGTGACTGGACATCGGGGTGCTCGGCCGCAGGACCACTGTCCCACCTGAAGGACTGCCACCTTCCTGCCTAGCCTGAGACCACTCCACCCCACCCTTCAGCCTCCTCGATGGGGACCACAGCAGCCAGCCATGTCCAGGGCCAGCCGCCCCCTCCTCTTTGCACCCTGGACACCACTGCCACCACCCACTCGGCACTCACAGCCTCCTTTTCCAGGCTGCCCTCTTCTCCCAGCTTGCTGTCACCGCCACTGAGATGGCGGACGATTGATCTGAGAAATGAAGTTGGATTGCTGTCCCAAATCTACACTGGGTTCTCCTTGTGTGTGTCTGATCGATTTCCCCCTGTGCGACATAGCTTGTCGCTACGAATTTTCATGCTAGTCAGAACCCGCCAGCACACCCAAGAACAAGGAGAAGATGCTCGGGAGACCGCCCTCCCCCTCGCATCCTCCCCCAGTCCGGTTGGGCGAGGTTTTCTTGGGCTGATGTTGGTTGGCTTTGTTTTTTTTTCCTCTCCTTTTATTTGCAATCGTTACTGCCGCCAACCCCATTGCTGCCGTGCTTTCAGATGCCAGCCAGGGATGGGTTATTTTTAGATGGTCGCTCCAGGATGGTGCCATTGGCCTCCGCATGGAGCCATCTCTGGACCAGGGCGTTCGCGGTGACATTCCCCACCGCGGTTACGCGAGGTGTCACCTGTTTAGCAGCTCCTCTCGGCCGAGCGCGTGTGGCCGCAGGTGCCAGGCAAACACTGATCGGCTGTGACAGTCCTAGACGCCAGCTGCCTGCACAAAGCCTGCCCGGTCGCCACTTTTTTTGTGGGCAAAGCTCTGCCGTTGGCGTGACCGATACAGAAGCAATAAACTAGGTGACCGTAAAAGCAAAGACAAGTCCTACTAAGTGGCATTCTGAGCCCTATGGCTTTGAAATAATTGGTAGTGAGAGAACAAAAATGAAAAAAAAATAAAACAAGAACCCCAGCCTATTTTTTTTTCTTACACTGATGCCCTGCGGACTATACATCTGACTTGCTGCGAGTCCGTCACTGTATCCTCCTGTCTGGCTGATAACATGGCGAAGGGTATCCACCTAAACAGACCAACGACAACAAAGACACGAATTAGAGTGAATGAAAGGTTAGCGGGCAAAGCTGCTTCAGTTCATCTTTGGCATGATAAAAACAAACATTAATAATAATAATAATAATAACAATAATAATAATAATAACGGTATATACTTAAAGAGAGGGGAAAGAGAACTGCAGTTAGTCTCACGGTGAGAGCAGAGCCAGAGGACCACTCCTGCTTCCTTCGCCACCCCCCACCTGCCCCAGTGGCCTCGTCACACTCTCCTTGGTCCCAAGTCTTGCAACAAAAAGAGTGGAGTGGGAGAACAGCATGCCAAGCTTGGGGTAGGACCTCCTGGAGCACATCGCTGTGGCTGGCTCCACCATTGCACCCACATTCCTACCCCTACCCACTTCCACCCTTCATTCCCCAAGCACTGGGAAGCTCACGGCAGTGGAAGGAGATCCGCAGAGTCAGCCGAGCGCCTTCATTTCAGAGGGCCCAAAAAGGAAATATACCTACCATGGCAAAGGCACTGGCAGCTCTCCTCTGGACGCCCCGTTCCTCTCCCTCCACTCCCCCAGCCCAGCCCCAGCAGTGGTACATGTGGCGAGCACATCTCGTTGCTCACGGATGGCATGCTTGCTCTGCGTCCAGCACTGCGAGGGGAGCAACCTCGGCTTTAGAGAGCTCTCCTTGCCCAGCGCAGAAGTGTCAAAGTGGCTGTCGTCTCTCAACACAGTACAGAGCCTTAAATGCCAGAGAGTGGACTCATGGCACATCTGGACATCAGATGGAAGGTGGGAGATTTGAGTTCCTGGCTATTTAAAATTCTTTCTTTTTGGCCAAAGCATGGGTTGATGTTTCAGTAATGCTGCTCAAAGCTCCCTCGCTCTGTCTTGCTGGTGTGTACATGGGTGGTGTGAGTGCCTGTGCTTTGGGGAGGTGGGGGGATGGTTAATGGTGGCTTTTAATTTAAAAAAAAATTAAAAAGAAATCTAGCTGTATATTTGAACATTTCTTGCCTTTCAGCAGACACCTGGTTTGGCATCAAAGGAGTAAGTGGAAGCCTTGTAAAACGAGACACCAGTCCAAACATCTGGCCCCTTCCCTTGGAAGAATAAAACAAGCAGAACCTAAACCTCAGCTCCTTTCATTTGAATTCATGCCTGTTCTCCTAAACCTCCTCTCCTCCTAGCATGACTATCAAGCCAGAGCCAAATGCATTCACAAAGTGTGGGCAAGTCTCCTCAAGACCATGGTTGTTGGTTTGGTTGGGTGTTTGGTTTTGGTTTCTTTTGGATTGATTTTTTTTTTGGTGGTTGTTGCTGTCACTTTTTTGGTTGGTTGGTTGGTTGTTTTTTTTGGTTTGGTTTGCCTTTTTTTAAGTGTTGGTTGATTTGTTTGTGCTGGTTGAGATTTGCTCTTTTCAGACGGGAGGGAGAAGTGCCAATACAATCAAAGGCTCCTCCAACACTAATGCATTCACTGGCAGTACATCGGATGGGTCCCTACCTGTGACTGCACGTTGGCTCCAACCTGGGCCCCTTGGTAAGAATCCCCATTGAGAGACTGCACGCTCATGAACAAATCTCCAGAGTTTGACATGTTAAAAGAACTGGAAGAACCTGGAAAGGAAAGAGAGAGGCACCTGAATCACAGAAAGGAAAAAGATCCACCCCATGACTCTCAGCCAAGAGGAAGGAACAACATGCAAAGCAACCACAAAAACAAAACACAGTCAGGTTAGTAGTATGAAGAACAGAGCAAGCAAAAAAAAGGATGCACTCTTGAGGTTATTCAAAGCCACATGTTGTTACAGCTCAATGCCGAGAACATTCTTCAACAGCTCCTCAGCTGGAGGAAGGATTCTTCATGCTTTTGACCGAGATAAACAAAACCCAGCCTGGAGGACTTGGACAGCCCCTTCCCTTCATTTCAGGGCATCAAAATCCTTCAGTCAGCTTTGAAAAGCTTGGTTGTTGGAGGTGGCCACCCGGCAGACTGCACTGGAGAACAGAATTACCCAAACAAGCCTCTCTATCGAGAGTGGAAGCCTTTTCAGCAGGGGAAACCAGGCCCACGCTAATACCATTTCTGAGAAGCTGAGATCAGGGTGGGTAAGTCTACACTGCACTGTTCTCTGCAGGGTGAGCAGATCCAGACACCATCCAGTTCCACAGACGGAGCTCCTGTGGAGCCACGAGAAGCTCTGCAAGGGAGCGGTGAGTGGGGTTTGCCTTCAGGACATCAGGAACCCATCGCTGGTGGGAACTACAGCACACCAGGAGTGAAGGCTCGCAAAAACATGAAGGCACCTGGGCTAGACTCCCAGCACTCATCACATTGGCAAGTGTCTTTCATTGTGATGGGTCATGAGAGAACGCAAGGGTGTCACAGCCCTCCTGGGCCAGCTGCCCCAGAAGAACGAGCTCTGTAAGCAAATTCCCCACTGCATGCACCAGTCGCCAACGTTACGCTAAAAAATTATAACAGTGAAGACAACTGGGTGGGATCAGGAAGAAAAAAACCCACAAATGTGAAGAAAAAAAATCCCGCCTTTGCAGAAACAAGGTTTTCTGCTTCCAGCTTCAAGATATCTGAGCAACTCCTTAACTACCAAACGGGAGAAACAAAACCATCACGTAACAGGAAGGCGGGGAAGGAGGGAAAGGGGTTAAAAATAAATAAAAAGGTTTTATGGGATTATTTCAGAACTTATCGTGCAGATCAGCGCGTTAAGTGTGAGACAGCTCAACGTGCAAGGTTTGGTTATATACATGACGTTAGCCTTGGAAAGGAGAGACTTCAGGGGCCCAGGTCAGCTACGCTCTCAGCTCCAACCCCAAATACAGTCTCATCATCTCCACTGCCACTTCCAACTTGGAAGACTGGCAACCACAGTCCTGGTGGAATTGCCCAACTATGGCTCATGCGTATGCTCTGAGAAACGCCTGGCAATTCCCACCCCCACTTTGCTGGAGAGGGAAGAAACACTCTGGACAGATCCCAGCTCTGCCCTGGAGATGGACCAGCAAGGCTCCTCTGAAGGAAACCACCTTCAAGAAAGGTCAGGGAGCAGGTGGGAGGTCTATGCTGCAGACTTCATGTTCACTAAACTCTCTGCTGCTCTCTCTGCAACTGGCTCTTTTGTCAGGTGATGGCAATTCTCAGAATTGAAGGAAAGCAGAAACATCACTGCTAGATACGATGCCCAAGACAGTCAAGAGAAAGACACGTCTTGAGCACAGTGATTCTTGGATCAGGGACCCTCCCACTGGTGCCTGAAAAGAGCAGAGCCAGGAATAGCTCATTGTCTGCACTCACTGTCAACCCTGCCCAACCTATTCCAGAGAGCAATCCCACAGCGCTGCGCACAATAACTGGGACTAGTCAGAAGGCAGCTGTAACCATCACCTCCTCTGCTCAGCTGGCAAAGGGCTCCTGTCACTTCCCAACCTCTCAGGTTACTTGCTATTTTAAAGGCAAAAAACCCAGGGAAACGAGCTAGCAGACTGAGGATAGCCCACCCTGACAGTGCTCAACTTAAAGCATGAAGATGGGCACTTTTCACATACACACAGATGCTTCCTACCAGGTTTTCTGAATGATCGCTTTGACTACTGGCATAAAAGCACAGGGCAGCAACGTGGCTTTGTACTCCCACAGTGGCTGACAACCAAAGGACTTTGCAGCTACCGCTCACAAGAAGCAGAGAATATTCTCCTGTTCTTTTAATGTGAGCAGAAACCTTTGAGATCACACAAATAATCAGCAGCAGAGCTGGGAAGAAGAGTCAGGAATCCCTGAGCAGCTGACAGGGCACCGCTACCACTCTGCCCCCCGCAGAGCAACATTTCATCCCACCTTCCCCTACCAAAAGAAAATTATAACAATAATAACAAATAAAAGTGCCATAAACTTAACCGATATTTTATTGAAACTTAACAAACCTGCCCATAAAATTGAGACTGTGAGGGAGAAAATAAAAATAAACGAACAGCCACAAACTCCAGTTCTGAAGAGCGCCGGTGTCTTGGAAATCATGAGGAGCGCTGGAGATGTCACTTACGAGATATACACTGCTATTGGCACAGGGTATTTTTACAATATATGTGCATATCAAAACGGTAAATATGTCTTGCTGCTGATGCGGATTCAAAGATAAATATGCGCATACCAATGGCCCCACATGTTTTGTATTGTATCAGAGCCGTAATTGCAGAGAGCCCTTTGCACTGCTGCTCTGCTGCTTCAGCACTCCACTGTCTACGTACTGTGTACAAAAATTACAGTAGCCCAAAGTCTCAGAGAAACGACTAAGAGGGGTGATGCATTGGAGTGGGAGAGGGGGTAGGAATGTGAAGAGCCCTGAAAATTAAGACTCTAGTATCCTCCATGGAGCCAAGATCCAGGAATACAAGTCAAATTCTTCCACTAGAGGAGGCTCTATCATAAATCTGATCTGCCCCTCTGAAAGGCTCCATTGTGAACACACCAAAGGTCTTCAGTGGTCGTAATTTGATCTGGGGCTCCTCAAAAACTAAGAGGTAACAGCCATCTTTGAACTTGTGAATCCAGGAGGAAAGGGCTCTGGCATGGAAGTCCCTTGATGCTATTTTGCGTGGACACACAAAAAAACCAACCAGCAAAACCAACATTTTCATGACTTGTAGTAGTATGGACAATGGTTCATCTTCAGCATCCAGACATCTTACCAAACCCAAGACCTACTATCACTATTCCTTAGTGCTGATTTTCTATGAGGTCATCACCAGCTTCAGAAAGGGTGCTGGAAATGTTTAAAAAAGCTATGGCAGTCAGATCTTGCTACTGGGTGAAAGCCTACATCAAAACAATGCCTGCAAAGGGATCTCTTCCATCCCTAACATTTCTGATGAGTAAAACCCTCTTCAAGTTTGCCTCCAATTCAGAAATCTTCACAAGCTTGACTGCTGGTATTTCCTGCACCACTTCTCCAGCTCTTCGGAGAGCTCCTTCTCCAGCGTCTCTAATGTCTTTTCTGACACTCTGACAGTCTTCACTTCCAACTCAAATTTTCCAGGACCTCTAATAAGTCCTTTTCTCTAAAGTATCTGACAATTCAACGGCATCACGAATAAACAAACACTGTCTTGGTGTTCACTGGAGCTGAAATCAAGCTATCGTCATCTACTGCCTCATACCACCTACCACCAATGAGACAGAGATCCAGCACACTGAACTGCTGAAGTCAACTTTGATCACGTATACCAGAGTCCAAGCTGAATCAATGGCAATGACATACACGCATTGACAGCATAGAATTTATGCCCCCTCTGTAACTTTTCCTTATGTTTCTACCATGGCCAAAGATGAGGGAAGAACTTTATGGACTGTGTAGCTCCTCAGCTGGACAAAGTCACCAAGTTTGACAGCAGGTCTAAAAGCCAGGGGTAACCCAGCAGGACATTTGTTCTTTTTCACTTGCCAACCAATACTCAAGACAGTGAGACCATGACCCAAACAGCCTGTCTGCTGAAGCAGGGTCCTCTCCAGCACTGTGTTCTGGACAAGTGATTGCCACAAATGGAGGAAGGCAGAGAAGATACACCAATCAGGCCTGTGCTTGATGAAGTACATTTCCAGACAGCATGATCCCCTCCATCAGCAGCTTTTCAAGAAGATTTTTACAAAACAAAAGGGTGAGCACGAAAAAAAATAGTTCAGGACAATTTCGCCTGCTTTGCATGGAAGACTTCACTGGATGTCATCACCTGTGTGTGGCCCTTGAGAACTCTGGTTGGCAAAAGGGTCTGCCCACATAAAATAGCTTTCATTTGCCATGTGGTTTTTGTGCTGAGATTGTCCAGGCAATCAAAGTGAGGATGGGGAGTTGTTAGCCCAAATGAGCCAGACATCTCAGCTTATTTGAACATCTGGCTGATAAAGCCCAACTGTGTATTCAGGATGAAAAGGTGTTTGACATTCAGGCCTGGGTGACTGAGGATGGGGGACCCTGCTTTGAACATGCCAGATGGCTAGACAGATGCAATCCTTGCCCTTGTCAATGTGTGGCCAATCTCTTTGACTGACTGTAGCCATTCACTGATCTCCAGTAACATGGGCATCAATGCAGAGAACAGATGGGCCTGCATAGCCACAGCAGAAATGAATTTAGCTCCTGTCCCAGGTCCCATCGCATCCAGTTCCACCTTCTCTTCCAATATCATGGCACTCCAGGGACTACATTGCTGGTTGCTTCTTTCTCATGACCTGTCCTCTGCCTACTCTCTTTCTTTCCACATGCCCTACAATGTATTCAAACCAGAAGGTCCTACAAATTCCCAGCAAATCCTATCTTTGTTCAGGGTCCTTCCTCAACAAAGTCTCAGCTAATGATCTGAAAACAGAAAGAAGTCCATGGTATAAAAGGAGGGGCATCATCCATCTTAATCCTTCATCATTTCATCCACTTCCACATTCTTCCCAGGGCAATTCAGCACATGTGGATGGCTCATGGCCTTTGACACCATCCTCCAAATCTTTCACAGACAGGTATTTCAGACCTAGCATGTACAGTTGTGCTTCTTGCCTCAGGACGTGCCTTTGCCCCACAGTGTGACAGGGATGCTTGACTGAGCTGTTACGTCCACATGGTTCATCTGGGGAGAGCTCAAACTGGGATGTCACTGTTCAAGATAAAATCCTGAGGCCCTTCCAGCTGTCTTCTCAAGAGAGGACTTAAAAGGACATTCAAACCCACTATCTGCAAACTGACCCAGAGACTAAGGCAGTGTTGACAGCAGGGCCTCCCCGCTGCTCTGCCACTGCTGCAGCATACAGGGAAGGTGATGGGATCCGGGCCAGGTTAGAAACACTTTGCTTCTAGCAGAAAAAGGATCTCCATGGCCCCCAAGTTCCCCTCGCATTGATGTGCTGCTTTAGCACTGCTGCCACATTAGGCACGTTGTTTCTGGAGTGCAGACAAGAGAGCCAGAAAGAGGACCCAGGAGCTCAAGTCTTACCCGTTAATAACAAGACTGTTTGTCCTTCCTTGAAAGCATAGTGTTATCAAGGGATTATCTTAGCTGTTTACTGCATGGTACCAGCCAATTTATCTTCGAAACAGCCGTGTTACTGCCTGTGGGGAAGGTGAAGAAACAGCCTTGCACCGGAACACTATTTAACTGGGCAGGCGCTGGGGAAATGCCTATTCCACTACATGCAGGCCAGATCCAAACCCATTTAAGCAATTTCAAGTTCTTCCCTTGCTATTCCAGACCTTTGGATCTGACTCCGCTTGAAGAAAGAGGAAAAGAAGGAAAGCTCTGTCTCTTTGGTCCAAGCTGATGTGGATGGCAGGACAGCATCACAGGAAGTAGGCATCTCCCTCAACACATGCAATTCTGCTCTTTACCCTCCAGCCTTTTCTACAGCGAGGTGTTAATGTCAAGAGGCCCTACCTGACCAGGTATTTTGAGTGAGCTGTTTGGAAAGGATGACATTTTTAAAACTGCAGCTAAATCTTCAGCAGTTCAAACAATGGAAGGAAAAGGGGGGAAAAAAAGACAAACAAACCAAACAGTAAAGAATCAAACAAAATTCCTGCAAACCACCTGTCCCAGCAAAACTGCTGCAACCACCCGAGCCCTCTGAGCACCTCAGCTGGGCCAGAGCAGGCAGCACAGCTTGCTCACAGGCAGCCCTGGGTGAGGAGGAGGTGGGAGAGATGCATCCCAGCCGTATTTCTGACCTGCAACCAAAAGCTGCAACATCTCTGCTCTAGGTGGCTCTGGGGGGCAGTCCCCTGGAAATTAAGTGGTTGTGTGTAGGGACTTCTCTCCACTGCCCAACTGAACAAGCCTTCTACCACTTGCTTCTGTGCAAGCCATCCACATGAGTCTGTGCAAGGTGTAGACAAGCTCCCCAGAGTGATCAACCACTGCTTATCACATTAGCTCATGGGTATCTGACTGCCTTTGCCTTCCTGCTGGGGTGCTGGTTTGGAAGATCAGCCAGAGACCCATGCCACTGGTTTCTCCCTTTGTTTGATCCCTGGCTCTCCACTTTCCACTCAAAACCTCCAGATCTGGGGGTGCTTCTGGGCTGTGATTCCTCTGATACCTGTCACAGGCATGGTTGTGCTCACTATAGAAGCATGTCCTGGTAGCCACCAGCATTTGCACGGTGTACCACTGGTGGTCTACTTAACATTCAGCTTCTCCTGCTGCTCACCATCCTCTTTGCTCCGCCATCATTTTCTTCCTCTTAGTAGCCTACCTGATAACAGCAAGCATCACCCCAGTGAAAGGGTACCATGAGCAGACACTAAACTCAAAGGCACAAGAGTGGCACCTTCCACTCTCCCTCCCACCCCTAAAAAGAAAACAGGCACACAGATATTTGCATGGATAATGAAGTACATGGCACCCATGAAGTTCACTTTTTTTCCCCTTTTAAACAAACCACAATTTTCCATTGCTCTTGGGAGTGGAGCAGAACCAGCTGACCACAGCCCAGGATCATTTTTGGGTCAGACATCCTCGTGGCAGGCACCACGCATGAACTAAGCATCGTTCTCTAGCGGAGGAGTTGAAATTTGGGCAAAGTGCTCTGTGCCTTTGACCCTCAAAACAAACAAATGGAAACCACAGGAAACGGGCAGGAAAGGGGGAAAGGGAAGGGAACGACCCATGGATTTCCTTGGATCGTGCTGACACAAAGGGAAAATAAAATTCACACAGAGCACACTCTTGCAGGTGATCCAGATGCTGTCATGTAAGCAATCAAAAGGTAACCATAACAGAAAGAAAATCAAAGGATACAAATCTACCCAAAACAAGCCTCAAAATGGCATGAGTTAGGACATCCCAGAAATGCTGGGTTTTAACCACTAGTGCCACTCATGCTTTCAGCCCCAATCAAATAAAATCATTATGCAACAACTTTTCAATTCCTTTTTTTCTCCCCTCAAAGGGCAAGCAATCCCAGCAACTTTTTTTGGACCATTTTTCTGGTTTTGTGTTTACCATCCATGCATATAACCCCCAATGCGGCACCATCAGTCACAAGGTCTGATCACATTGTTTTTCCAATGAAAAACAGAACAGGAAAGGGGAAGATAAAAAAAAAAGAGGAAAGAAAAAAGAGGGAAGAAAACCCAAAGAAAATAAGGTACTCCCCACAAAACAACCTCAAAAACCAAACCCACTTTCGCTCTTTTTTTTTTTTTTTAAGACCACATAAGCGAGCCAACCAAAACCAGAAAATAAAAATTGAAATAACCAAAAGGAGAAAACAAGAGAGAGATTAGAGGGAGGGGGTGAAACGAACAAAAAAACGAACACTAATGACCCAAAATAAAAAAAAAAACAAAAACTAACCAGCTGAATTGGGAGTTGAGGGTGAGTTAGCCTGGCTTCCATGGGCTGACACATTGGTAGCCGTGACAGCCGTTTTGGCAGCATAAATATTGGCTTCCTCTTGAAATTTACCTATGTTCTTCTTGTACCGGATTCTCTTATTTCCAAACCAGTTTGATACCTAGAGTAAGTTTAAGAGAAGACAAAGACGTTAACGTTTCGGCTCTGGCAACTGTGGCTGGGTGAGGAAGGTGGATTAGTTCAGGTTAAGTGGTGCACGTTCTATCCCCCTTGCCCCGTTTTCCTAGTCATGGAAGGAAGCACCTTCTACCTGCATGTGCCACACCAAGCCCAGGAAAGGTGGTGGGACCCCTTTGAGAGTGCTGGGTTTATATGGATATATCTCATTCCTCTATGGATGGGATGCCCACTAAGGTGATGCTCCACAGGAACCGCTAGACCCACCCCACGAAAATATCTGATGTGTTTAAAAAAACCTGAGAAAGTCAAATGACCCTCAAATTTTAAAATTTGAAAACAGGTATGTGTCATTTTGGAATTTTTTATTTGCACCCTCCTCCACATCCCTTTGACAGGGACAGATGCCCTGATTTCCAGATGCCTCTTCTCCTCCCTTTGGAGAAGTCAGTGTGGTTTTCAGGAAGAACACCCAACGAATTTACTTGGGCCTGGCCGACACCCAGAATTGCCTTGATATCACTGAAGCTCTGCTTTTGATCCATCTGAGTGAAATCAATGCAGAATGCCAGAAGCGGATGCTCTTCATCCAGCTGAACTCAGCTTTGCATGGTTTAGCACAAGCCACTACATAAACCAGGAGCTTCCTTTTATGATGGAGTTACAGCATCAATTGACAAGGGAAGAGCAATTAATGTCATCTATATGGACTTGTGCAAAGCCTTCGACACGGTCCCGCACAACATCCTGGTCTCCAAATTGGAAAGACATGGATTTGACGGGTGGACCACTCAGTGGATAAGAAATTGGCTGGAAGGTCGCACTCAAAGAGTTGCGATCAATGGCTTGATGTCTGAGTGGAGACCAGCGACAAGTGCTGTTCCATAGGGATTGGTACTGGGACCGGTGCTATTTAACATCTTTGTCAGTGACGTGGACAGTGGCATCAAGCGCACCCTCAGTAAGTTTGCCAATGACACCAAGTTGTGTGGTGAGGTTGACACACTGGAGGGAAGGGAGGCCATCCAGAAGGACCTTGACAGTCTTGAAAGGTGGGCCCAGGTCAACCTCCTGGAGTTTAACAAGGCCAAGCGTAAGGTCCTGCACCTGAGTCGAGGAAATCCCAAGCACAGATACAGGCTGGGCAATGAGTGGATTGAGAGCAATCTGAGGAGGAGGACTTGGGCGTGCTGGTGGATGATAGGATGAACATGAGCCAACAGTGTGCGCTTGCAGCCCAGAAAGCCAACCATATCTTGGGCTTCATCAAAAGATGTGTGGCCAGCAGGTCGAGGGAGGTGATTCTGCCCCTCTACTCTGCCCTCATGAGATCCCACTTGGAATACTGCGTCCAGCTCTGGAGCCCCCAGCACAAGAAAGACATGGAGCTGTTAGAGTGAGTCCAGAGGAGGGCTACCAAGATGCTCAAAGAGTTGGAACACCTTTCCTACCAGGACACGCTGAGAGACTTGGGCTTGTTAAAGCCTGGAAAAGAGAAGGCTCCAGGGAGACCTTATAGTGGCCTTCCAGTACCTGAAGGGGGCCTACAAGAAGGCTGGTGAAGGACTTTTTACAAGGGTCTGCAGTGATAGGACGAGGGGTAATGGTTGGAAACTGGGAGAGGGCAGGTTTAAACCTTAAAGGTGTAAGGAAGAAGTTCTTCACCCTGAGGGTGGTGAGACACTGGAACAGGTTGCCTAAGGAAGCTGTGGATGCTCCATCCCTGGAAGTGTTCAAGGCCAGGTTGGATGGAGCCTTGAGCAACCTGTCTTGTGGAAGGTGTCCCTGCCATGGCAGGGAGGTTGGAACTAGATGATCTTTGAGGTCCCTTCCAACCCAAACCATTCTCTGATTCTGTGATTCAGGGGAAGGCTGGAAGGGAACACAGGGCTTGTCTCAAGACCGAAATTTAGTCCCAGGGAAGTAGTGTGTCCTTTGGAAAGGGGAAGGAGACGACTCCATTGTGTTTGCCCAGAGACCAGTATGGCCTAATGTGTCTATGTGCCTAGAATTGTGCTGAATGGGGCTAGCAGATTTATTCAAAAAAAAATAAAGCAGCAGGATAACTTCTTCAGGTGTCGTGGGGGTGGCTGAAAATGATGAGCCAGATCTGAAGGCAGAATGAAGCAGTGCAGCTCCTCTCATGCCAGTCCTGGTGAAAGCTGTTTGCCTGTGCCTGCAGCAGTGCAATGCATGAACCTCAGAAAGCCCCAAGGAGGCGCCCAAGCAGTGATTCTTGCAGACTATCAGGGCGATATCCAGGGATCAGTAGTATGAATGATTGACAGACAGGTCGCTTGGACAACCTGCCAGGTGTCTTGATAAACACCCCAAAGTTTGCATGTCAGAGGTTGCGCACAGTGAACAGCATAACTCTGAAGTCTGTGAAATCAGGCTGTAGTATCTTGCCAGAACTGCTTCCCAGGGAAAATATCAGGGTACCTCCTGAAACACCATGAACTCAGCATTCCCAAAATCCCACTCAGTATCCTGCTGATGATAATCCTGTTCACTTGTGGGCACTATGTTGCACTGGAAAATTCCAGAGAAGACACGGGAAATATTCAACCTACAGTTTGGGAAGGAGCTCTCAGCTTCTTCTTTGACAACACTGAACACAGAGAATCAGAGGAATGTCTTCCTACGTGGTCTTTAAGCAGAAGACAACTTCCAGCCATTACTGACCTTGTTTGAGAAAGCTCAGCAGGATGAAGAGAATGGGCAAATGCCAGAGGATGCTGCAACTCTCACAGAAGAACTCCAACACTCTTAGGATTGCTTAGAGCTGCAATCTTGAGCTAGCAGATCAACCTCTTTCGTGGGACTCCAAGGACATTCTCCCTTTGCCTGCTAGTGTGCAAGTATACAAGTGCTCCCCCTTCCAAATGGACTGTCTAAGCACCAAGACACAGAAGACAATACCAGATGTTCATTCTGGGAAGCTCATGATTTTTTTCCTCATCTTAGTGAAATTGTTTTGGTTTGGGTGTTGATAACTGAAACCTGTATGGTTTTATTCCTATGATGCTTTTTACTTGCAGTGCTCCTAGAGCATTCAGCAGCTTCTACACAGAAGTGGCTTCATCCACCAATTTACCTGCTACTGAACGGCAAGTATCCAATCCTGCACTGCTGCAGAGCAGGAAAAATATAACCTGCAGAGACTCCTGGGAGGCAAAAGGTAGTGACTCAGATCAGCACCCAACCCAGATCTGGGAGCAAACATTTCAACGGCACCATGAGCAGGTGCTGTTTGCGAGGAGCTCCATTCCACTTCTTGCTTCAGCTTTCTCATTAACGACTATGTGCTCCTTTGTCATCTTCCCACTCGGCCACCTCTCTACAACAGCTCTTCTGGCTTCAAATGCTGGAGCCAGTGGGAGAACTCTGAGCACCACAGGGAAAGAAGTCAGGATAAAGGGCCACTGCAATTGATCTTCATCTTAAAACTTGTGAAGCGAAGAACCTACTCACCCCAGTCAGCCCTGAAGTTCAGATCAACTCTGCTCATGACTTGCACAGATTCATGCTGTCCCATGCTCCTACTTAGCCTCAGCAAAAACAGAGACCTGGATGTGTGTTTGTTTCTACCTTCTTTGGACGAAGAAGAGAGGGAGATCTTGGAGACAGGCACAAGGCAGCCTTGATACAGCATGGTCAAAAAATATCCTAAGTACAGCATTTCTCCTGGGCATTTTCCCTTTGCAAGGGAAAAGTTGCAAGTGTGAACGGCTGAATTAGAAGTGAGAGGGGAAGCATCAGGACAGCTGTAGTTTTACTTAAGCCAATATGTGCTGTCTCTCATAGGTAACTCTGGGCAGAATCAATGTTTGGGTCTTCTGACCCAGGGGATGCAACTGGAGTCACTCAGCAGACATTCAACGCGATGATGATGACACCTACCCTCGGATGCTGTTGCTCCTGCTGAAGGCAGACACGCTCTCACAAGGACACCAGATGCTACTGCTGCTGTCTTCAGTTTACTCAAGTGGCGAACAGGCATGTGCCTGGGGCCGGGAAGCAGCCCAAGATGGGGAATGCAATGAGAGCCTAGAGAGATCGCTAAGCTCACATGAGGACAAAGACTACCAGAGGCTATATAGATTGGCTTTCAATCACGCAGCTTGCTCCCAAAAGAGAGGAAATAAAGAAGGGCAGGCCTGAGCAATGTACGGCTGAACACTTCAAGGACTGACTGCACTCCTCACAAATCCCAGCAGCTCCCAGGTCAAAGCTACAGACTCCAGGAACTCTACGTGGCTGCCTTGAATGTATGGAAATAATTCAATTTGTCTTTATTGACCACCTTTCTTTGAGGGATAAGCAAGTCAGGGAAATGTCACGTTCTGCAGCACAAGAGTAATGACAGACAGAAATGACCCTGAGAAAGCCCACCGTCCTTGGGAACAAACTATAACCATTAGCCTGTCTGACCCAAACCCTTCCCACCATGACCCTGTCCATTCTACCTTATCGAGCAAAATCTGCACAACTCTTCCTGCTGCCTTCGAATCCCCTGGCTTGAAGAATGGACTTTCAGCTCAAATGAGCTCTTGCTGCAAGCCAGCTCAGTACAAATTCCTTGAGAAGACTTTGCCTCTGAAATGATGGGTCAGGCCACATCATTTCTGTGCCATTAACACCTTGGCTGCACACGCAACCATCACTCCATGAAGTTTTCATCCCTTCTAAATCCTCTCCCAAACTTTCCTTTTCCATCCATGGCTTCAATCTGCAAGTCTGCCATCTGCTCTCCCATCTACTTACACTAACTTGTGCTAAACTCATTTACTAATTAAATGCTCAACACTGGGACATGACTGACTTGACTGAAGTTTGGAGTGCCCTTCACCACACTAAGATTTCCCGTTCGCAGTAGCCATCTTTGCTGTATTTCTGAGCTCTCTCACCTGTGAGACTGTGATGCCGCATTTCTTGGCTAGCTCTTCTTTGGCTTCCTCACTGGGGTAAGGGTTGCTGAGATGGGAATAGAAATACTCATTCAGGATTTCCGTAGCCTGCTTGTTGAAGTTTCGTCTCTTCCGCCTTAGCATGAGGAAAGAGGGGAAAATAGAAGGAAAACAAAATCAGTGCCAGGGATCCAGAAACAGGAACGTAATTTTAGATACTCTGACTTTCCCCACTTCCCTCCCTCCTTCCCCTGCTCCTGGGAGCACGGAGTGCAACAGATTCATGGCCAGGAAGCTTCTCATCTGCACCTTGCTGATGACTCCTCTCTCTCAGCATCTTCCAAAGCAAGTAAGTCTCCATCTCAAATTATCACTGTATCCTCCAACTCATAGAAGGGTATTAAAATTGGCAGCCAGCTCCTCCACCTGGGAAGGTGACTCCTGACATCTGGCTGCCCTGGCCAAAGACATCACTGCTTCTCTGCAAAGCTCCGTGCGGGGAAGGCAGTGCTGGATAGATCCTTGGGGAAGTCCGTTCCATTTACAGCTGGGTATTATCTGTCTGCTACCTCTTTCCTCGTACCCGCATGTAGCTGCCTCTCCTCCCCATCCCAAGCTGCAGCCCAAGCCACAGCCTGCATGTAACCCGCTTGGGCAGTGAAATAATTCTAAAGCAAACCGAATATCTGGCACAATGAAAACAGAAGGAAAACAATAGGAACCTACAGTGGACAGGATGGGCTGGAGGATTAGATCTCATCCCTAACTAAAGTCCAGATTTTCACCACAAAGGTTTGTTGGAATATGCCACAGATGTGGCATATGGAATATGTGTCCTTCTGCCACGGCAAAACAAGGATGTACAATTCTCAAGGTACAGCTGGGAGCCTTCCTGAGACAGAGGCTGGATGTCCTGAATTGCTGTCGTTGCCCCGGCTGAGCCACAGACAAATAAAGGATAAGGAAGGTAAAGAGCCTCTGTGGCTCAAGACCAAGAGACATGGCCCTTCAGATGGAGCTAAATTCACTTCAGAACCTCAAAACACCTCTCCGAGGCCTGAACAATACTGCATGGTGGGTGGGGAGAAAGGTCTGGTGTGGTGAACTCACCGTGCATCCAGAAATCGGGAGCGCAAGATCATGACAGCTTCACACGTGCTTTGCTTCAACTGCATCTGGATGGAGCTGAACTTGCGGTGGATGATGCTCACCATCCGCTCTATCTCCTTTGGTGAGATAGGTCGGGTCCGGCTCTGCTCACGCAGCAGGTTCATCACGTGGGTGGTGAACTCATTGCATGCCTGGGATGGCAAGAAAAGCAAAAGAAACCCCAGGATCGGAAGGTCATTCGATAGCGTCAAGGACAGTACAGGGGCAATGCTGCTAAGAAAGGAGATGCCTCAATGACTAGGGCTTTTCAGGGCAGAACCAGAGCCAAGTGTGTTCTGGCTCTCGAGGGAGAGATACATTTCTCTCGTCTGTCAAGCAGAGGGCATGAGAGAGTCCCAACAAACATGCTGAGAAAGGCAGAAGCCAATTTCTTTGCTCTCCGATCACAGATGGAGCCAGGGCAGGTGAAGCCCTAGGACTCATGTAAAGCATGAAGAAGTCCCAGCCACTGTTTTTCTGGATGGGACTGGAGGAGCTATACATGTATCTGAGGAGGACTGCGAATCTTTTGACCTTCTGTCCCTCCTCCCACTGCCCCAGCTGGACCCCAGCACCACGTGTCCTGCAGAGGCCCTTGTGCTTCACAGGAGCAGCTCCCAGAGAGCCTTGCTCTGTGCTCTTAGCACATCAGGTAAGAAGTAAATAATGATAATAATTAAAGCCTGAGTCAGGCAGGAGCCCTGACAAGTAAGGGCAAGCAGGTAATAATCCCAATTAGCTTGCTGCTGGCACAGCACTGTCTGGCTGCTCCTGCTGTCCCCATGCTGTGCTGTGAGGACAGGGCAGTGAGAGGAGTCAGGGGGATAAGGGAGAGATTTTGAGGCCAGATGAAGGCCACCTCATTGCCCTCTACTCCAACCCCATGAGCACCTCGTGGGCATGACAGGATCCTCTGATTCCCAGAACCAAGCCCAGAAAACCAGGTTGAGAGAAGCACTTGGACACTGATGGCTCGAGAAGCCTTCAGTGCTGCTGGGACATGGACAGCTGCTCTGGGGACAGTGTCCCCAGCTCCCACTCCATGATGGGGGAAAAGGGGCTAGCAGGAGAAGGAAACACTGATTTTGTGGATTGGCAACAGGGTCTTGACTTACTATCCCCCTACCCCACCCTTCCAAGCTGAATCCCCACCCATGGCTCAGACCCAATAAGGAGATATCTGCGAGGCCAGCAGAGCCCCTCCAATTGCCCAACATCAGCTTCAGCTCCCAGGGTAAGCACTGGCTACAAGAGCTCCTCAGCTGAGCACCTCTTTGCTCCCAGATGCCTGAGCAATTTCAGCTCGTCTCCTCTTGGCGTGAAATAAAGAACAATAAAGGCAAAACTGCCGGCGAGCGCCGTGCTGTCACAGCAGCAGCCAGATGCTGTGAGAAGCCAGGCACTGAGCTCCCCCAGCCACCAACAATGGGGCTGGAGAGAGAGGGGTGAGGTTGAGAAACCCTGAACCTTGGTTTTGCAGGACTACGGGTGATGATAACGGAGATGTGGACTGGCATAGCCAATCACAAAACTACTCGGTGGCAAAACCAACCCCGTCAGTGGGTTGTGAGAAGGAAAGACATGGCCCATCTGACCTCATGGGGCTGGGGTAAAGGATTCTCTCACATTGGTATCTCTTTGGAGAGCAAAAAATTATGTAGAAACAAAATCAGAAAAGCAAAAAACCAGAACTCCCGCTCAAGGGGAGGAAGGAGCAGAAGGTTCTTCCCTGAAGCCTGTCCGTGGCTTTGCCAACAGTCTCTGCTTGGGCTTGGGTGGCAGAGGACATGGGGTCTCTCTCCTCCTCCTCATCCTTGGGGCTGAAAAATGAGCCCTGACATGCTCTCCACTCCTACCCACGTGAGACGGCTGAGGCTCCCTCCTGCCACACCACCCCATCTCTGTGCCTCAGGGGAGTGACAGCGAGGGCTGAGGACAGCCACCAAAGGTCATCCTTCCAACCTGCCCCCTGCCTGCTCCCCAGGCTGCACCACCCCTACCTCCTCCAATGCTCTGCCAAAATGCCTTTCATGGCGTGACCACATTCGGCTTTTCCAACACCAGAGCCCTACCGGGCCACCCTGCCTCCAGCTCCAACCCAGAGGCACCCATATAAAGGGTAGCTCCACACAACCCCCAGGTGTAGGTGTGAAGATGCTAACCAGCAGCCTCAGCTTGGCCAAGGTGGCACCCGAAGGGGTGAGACATCCCCCAGCCCCACCACTCATCCAGTTAGCTGGATAAAATGGGTGCTGGGCTGGCTCACCCATACAGACCCCAGCACCAGTGGCTCACTCACAGCGCCATCACATTGGGTTAAACTGCATTAAACCAGAGACCTGAAACCCCATCTGGCCCCTGGCCGCAGAGACAGTCCTGCACCCAAAAAGGAGGGATGCTTTCTTGCTCACACTCCATAAACCACAACCTCAGGGTAGAAACCACATTCATCACAAGGGCAAGCTGTGCAGCAGTGAAGAGAGGTCTGCAAAACATCTGGAAGCATTTGAAAGAAACTGGTTTTGAGCGTCGGCCTGCAAAGCTTTTCATGCAATTGTCAGTGTTACCAATTGCTGCATTCATGACCCAAATAGTTACTCTTTTTTTTAAGAATCATTTTACACAAGAAAAAGGCCTTTCTTTTTCTGGAAAAAGAACTTTTCAAGCAGAAAAAATATTCAAGGAAGATTTTGATTCAAGCCTTGCTTGGAAAACTGCCTGCACTAAGGCCAGCACCTCAAAGAGGACTCCCCTTTCATAGGGCCAATTTTTGGCAATATATTAGGGGAGGAGTGAAAAGCAAAAATCAAAGAGGCAACCCATGCCAAGCCTGTTCTTGCGCCACATGCCAGCGCAAAAGCCCAACCCTCCCAACCCTAAAAAAGCACGTTTTCACTCCAATACCAAGCAACAGTTTGCATTTGCCCATACGCTCTTAACAATAGATGTCAGTAGCGATCCAGGCTGTGCACATCTACGCCACTGTGACAGTGGCTCTCCCGGCCACGTCCACTCCGGTTCCTGCTCCCACCATCCCACGGCCACCACCCCTGGGCAGCCCTGCCCTCCACCACAAAGGAGCCTGTTACCTGCTCGTACTTCTCCAGCTCTGTGTGGTAGATCTGCCGGATCTGTGAGAGCTTGGCTCTGTAGTCGGAATGATCCACCGAGTTGTCAGAGCCGGCTCCTTCCGATGCCGCGGCCGCAGCGGCCGAGCCACCTCCTTTTTCGGGGCCTGCTACCCCCTCGGCTAGGAGCATGTTGTCTAACCGCATCAGCTGGGGGTCCGTGGGCTCCTCTTCCTGCGCTCCCCGGATGCTCAGCACTGCAGGAGACACAAAAGGGAGAGGAAAGCCTGAGTCGTGCCCAGGAATTAGCTTGGGGAAGGGGATGCTCATCCAAAAGGGGATGCTCATCCCAGGTTGGACCAGCAGGGCTCAGTCCCCATCAACAGGGCTTTTCTTCCTTTCCCAAGGGTACCCCAACAGACAGACTGCACCCTGGTGCTCTAGGCGCTCCTCACCAAGCGCAGCTCCTCAGCTCTCCAGCCCAGCAGCAGCGACAGGGGCACTCCAGCCCCTCGCGCCCCTCCCTGTCCCTTCCCCTCCTTCCCACAGGGAAGAAGTAGGGCAGAACTGACAGAGAGCTCACCGCAGAGGTAACCCAGAAAGCCACACTTTGCGTTCAAATACACGGCAAAACTGCTAGCAACACCAACCAAAAACCCAATAAACGCACCTATTCTTGCTGCCAGAAGTGATTAAGGACTGTATCTCAACCCAAGCGTGGGATGGGAAGTTGGGGAGTCCCTAGCCCAGACCTGAGCTCACCCAGTGGTCCTCTCATGTCACCTAACATGTTGTTTATGCCCTGATCCTGCACCATTTGCATCAGTCATCAAGGCCCGATGGCAGAGGAAGACGCACAAAGCCCAGGGCTGACTATGCCTCAGTTTCCCCATCTTTATATACAGACAGAGAAGGCTTGCCAGGCAATGCTTTTAGCCACGTGGTGGAAAAACAAGCAAAAAATTTGTACAAAATAAATTTTATTCTTTCAAAAACGTCTTTTGTTTTAGAATCCAGTCATTCCAGTGAAGTCTAAACCATACCACGAAAAGGGGCAACAATAAATTAATCCTCCCAGAGCGACTTTCCAAGGAGAGAATCTTTCTCCCCTCTTTGTACTCCTCGCCTTGATTACTGCTTCAAGTAAAAGTCCTTCTCCTGCAGGGGCTTTCCTGGAAAACCACATAGGAGCATCCCGACCGCTTGGGATGTCCCAGGCCTGAAGGAATGAGGTGCCCTACAAGTGTCTCCCCACGATCTGTGTTTGAACACAGAAGCATAACTTGAGATTTCTGCATGCACACATGCACAAATGTGCGCAGCTGCAAAATAAATAAAACAAATAAAATAAATCCTTGATGAGCGAACAAAAAAGGCATTTCCCAAGAGAAATTAATTGTATCTCCACATCTCGAATGGCACAGGAGCTCAAAGCACTTTGTAAACACACACACACACCAAGCACACACTCGTGTACATCCAGTGCTGGGTAACGTTGCATGGATTTTAATAAAGCCGTGCCCACTTACACCCAAGATGAATTTGACCCCCCCGAATCCGCAGCACAACCAAGAGCAAGTGATTTTCCCAGTCATTTAAAAAAAAAAAAAATCTAAAATCAGTTGGCAATAAGAAGTAAAACCAGAGCAGCTGAAAGACCTGGGTAAACACTGACAATGGTCCTCCTCGCTCTGAAATGAGTTAAAGATACGCCATTATCAGCATAAAATGGAAGTAAAAGACCCTGTTGAGAGGTTTGGCTAACACTAAAATGAGATTTTTTTTAAAGCCTCAAACTCTACTGAAATCACTATTTTCAGGACTCTACCATTTATTGGCATTTTTGTGATTAAAACATTCACTGTCAACAAAGGTGGGAAGGCCGGGGAAAAGAAAAGATAGAAAAAAGCCCAACAACAGTAAATTTGCCAATTAGAAGAGCTAATAATAAATAATTCCACGCTAGGGAGGATTGTTTCTGCACAGAGGGATGGGGGCATAGTGCCAAATTTGGAGCTGGGTGCCAGTTGTCAAGCCCCAGGGAGACAGGACTGGCATCTCCCCCCACTGCAGGAGGCTTTCCCATGGCACTGCCGGCACCCAGCCACGTGCTTCACCGACGAATAAATCTGAGGGGAGAGGTCAGATTTCATCAAGAAAATGGTTTGGGGTCTGCGGTCCATAAACTGAAACAAGGGGTAAAGGTAGCCAAAATCCTCAAAAAGAGAAGAGGAAAGTGCGGAGGTGACAAGTCTTGGGCGAGAGACAAACTTGCTATGAAAAAAAGAGATAAAATTCCTATTCTTCCAGGACAACAAAAAAATCACTAAATTAAAGCACATCAAAAGCCCAAATACAAATGAAAAGTAACACAGGTAAAAAAAAAAAAAAACAAAAACAAACAACCTCCAAACCCCAAATAAACAAATCAAAAGCAGAGTTGCCAAAACAGGTGCATCTGGATTTCAAAAGGGAAATATTTTTAGATTAAAAATCTCAGGAATCATTGACCTGACAGGTAGGCACGAGTGATTAATTAGTTTATGTTTAGAGAGTAGCTTCCTGATGAAAAGCGCTGTGTAACTCCTCAGCTTTACCACCGTGCAACATACACGGACCAGCACCCGCTGGGTGCGCATGTATCCCGAGCACCCGATGGATAGACACGTATCCCCGCAGCAGAGACCAGGACCCAGCCGGGGACCGTGCGGAGGTGGCGTGGGCTTGGCCGCCCACTCGGAATAAGGCTAGGGAGTAAATAAATGGAAAGGCCAACGTGTTTAAGCAGAACTGATGCTGCCTATTTATCCCTGGAAGGCTGCACTCAGCGGAGGAGAAGACAAAATGATTACTTAAGAGCTTCTTTTTTATCTTCCCGGCGCTGTCCCTGGCTCCAACGCACCTCCTGCCAGGACGCCCGTGGTGGTGGGCTTCTTGGCAGCTCTGACCATCCAAAATGCCCCCCATGATGAGATGCGGCTCCCGCTCCGCCGGCTGGGGGGCTCAGGGTGAGCCAGTACAGGCAGCATCCGACCCGCAGTGCCTGGGTGGCTGATTGCGAAAGGCCCCTGCTCTCCCATCAAATTAATATAAGATAAATTAAGCAGAATAGTCCTCAGCGATCCGGCAGCAAGCCGGACCTGAGGGGCTGTGGGCGTGCTCCCACCCATGACCTGGCATCCCCAGGACCTGCCATTTGCTGCTCCTGATCAAAGAAAGAAAAAAAAATAAAAGGGAAGAACAAAAAGAAAGATAGTGACTGGCAGCCGGCGGGAGGAAAATTCATGCAAGACTTTCTGTCCTTGGCTGCTTTCCTGCTGGCTCGGCAGCCCCTGGAGCCGTGGCAAATGCCGCTAGAGGGTGCTCGGCCCTCACCGAGGTCCCCCACTGCCTCAAAATGCATTTTTATATATAAATATACATACATAGCACACATGCAAATATATATATATGGATGGATGGATGCATTTTAAAAGCAAAGCCAAGCCACGCGCCTTGTCCCTGCTTGCACTGCTGCAAAACGCTGCCTGTGGAAGGGAACCGAGGAGCACAGCCGTAGCAGGGTCACCATCACTGATGCCAGCAGTGGAAGCAGCTGGGGACTGCCAAGCCACCAGCCTGCGGTCCGGTCACAGGTGCCACCAGGGTCACAGAGACCCGTTCTAGCAGCTGGGAAATGGTTCCCAGCTCACACACTCATTCCTTCTCCCTCTTGAGGAAGGTTTCACAGCAATGGTGTGCAGAGGACATTGTCCAAGTCCCACTCCTGGGCTGGCTCAGTGGCGTGGCTGTGGTGCAAGACACAGGGAGGTGATGGCAGGACTGGCCTTGGAGAACCATGTGAGGAGGCAAAGCCAAAAATAGCTCCCCAGCTCCTTGCCTGCCCTGTGATTCAGGGGTGCGGGATGGAAACCGCATCGAGCCACCAAAGCTTTCAGATGCTCCAAGATGTTTCCCACCAACCTGAGTATCTCCGAGGACACCTGCAGAGCAGTCAGCACCATGCTTACATGAGACGGGCAGTCAGCACCCCACACACATCTGTATCCCCATACCATGGTACCTGTGCCTGGCGTCCCCGCACGCTGGGGACGGCCACGCGGCCTGTCGTACAGCTAGGGGCACGGGGCAGTACCAGCCCTTGCCAGACATGGTGCTGGCATATGCCTTCAAAATGGACTGCACTCTGGGGCTGTGAAGACAGCTAAGAAATCCACAAAGGCGGGTACCAGGCTCCTCCTGGTCCTTCACGCCACGATCCCCTCCCTGATTTACTCCATTTTCCTAGAAGCATTTTTCCAAAGGGACCTGGGAAGCCAGCTCAGCGCAGGAGCCGAGCACAAAGCCACCTCTCTTCTCCAAGGCCACCTCAAAATGCTTCAGCTTAGCAACTTTTTGATCTCCACCCCTTCCAAACCCTCCAGGATCAGAGGTGCGCAGGCAACACAGGCAGACAACATCATGAAGGCAATCAAACATGATGGGGGTGATGGCAGCAGCTTAGCCGGAGACTGTAGCTCAGCAGTGACAACAGAAAAGGATGCTCAAACCTCCAAGCTCTACTTTTGTTCTAGAAAGGGTAATTTAACCTACTGCAGTCAGTGTCCTCAAGCTGATGAGATGCGGGAAGCAGGGATCTGCCCTGGCCAGACTCCCAGCATGGGATAAATCCAATCAGAAGGCACTGCGGGCTGCGGTGGTACAGCATTCCCCACCATTTCTCATCCTCGTGTTTCCCCTTGGGTGCTGCTGCATGTGTGTGCTCATCCCCAGTTAGGTGCCAGCCAGGACTTCTCGGGTGGATGCCAAAGACCAAGCAGAAGACACCAGATGAGGCTAAGGCAAGGTGAAGCAGTGGGAAAAGCCTCTTCAGGGATGCAATGGGGACATCTTGGAAGAAGCACACACAGTCACCGACACAAAGCCAACCCAGGTTGTGATGATGAAAGGAGAGATCCCCCATACAGAGCTGGCATGGCTGTTGGTTCCTCAACTCTGTGCTGACTTCAGCAGACAAGAGCACGGTCCCACGAAATTTGCTGTGACTGCCGGGTTAAGATCCCCTCCTACTACATGAGCTGGCAGTTCCTCTACAGCTCTGTTTGATGACACCACCAGCCAAGGGCTAGTCCCAGCGGCTGGACATCTAAAGAAACCCACCCCAAAAAGAAACCTGCTACGCGGTTTTAATGAGTATGGGAGGAGCGCTTGCCCTCCCGCCTGAGCCGGACTGCTCCTGGACAGGTTTTCTCATGGT